CCATTTGCTGTTAGCCGACACTTGCTAGCTCAAGACGTAGCGATGCTAACTTGTAAATGTTTGTTTTAGGTTATATTACATAGTTGCAACAAAAGCAAAACAGTTCCACCAACAAAAAAACTTTGGAATTAATTCATTATCATTTTCAAGTATTTCAGTTGTCAACATGCATCCTATTTTTTATTTATTTTGCATGCATCTGCTCTAAACTATCACTTGGTCTATTTTATGCTTACTTTTCCATTTTAAGGGAAAGAGAGCTGATTAATTAAGACGCATGCCTGATTTTTCGGAGGGTACTTTTGACCCTGCTATCGTTCTATATATCTTCAAACTAGCTTTCAATTTCATCCAGTTCATCGTCTGCTGCCCGCTCATTACCTCGTTTAACAAGGGCCGTTTAACAAGTATACGCATTAATCCACAGTCGTAATCAATGAAGAGCTGTATGTAGGAGGGCTCTAGATATTCTTGGATAAATTATCTGGAATTCAGTTGTACTCTCTTGTAGTGAGAGATAATTTACAATCGAGGAGCGTTACCGGTAAGGATCAGACTTACTGGGATGTCCAGTTTCGACTTGTTAGTAACCATCGATGATCACCACCACAATCAAACATTCCAACGCTCTCTGACTTCCAAAATGAATAAATTAAACCGTAGAGCAATTTACTTCCACATTATCTATTAAGCTGTGGACCCCGAATCAAATTTTTCAATGTACTGCTACTTAACGATGAAGCACTATTGAATACGTGTGACTAATAAGCTTAAATTTGCAGATGGTGCTGGATTTTGCGAATAGTTTAAAAGCGAAAGCATGTAGGCCAAATTACCATACCACTATATTCAAGTGCTCAGTCGGGTAGGGTTATATAGATACGCGCTAAGATTGTTTCGAACACTGTTTGAACTTTTTTATGAATAAAATTTTGCTTAAATACTTGACAAAAAGGTACTTAAAATCATAATCTGTTGGTTTTAGGCATATGTTGAACGATTGCTACCGCGTATCGACACATCGGTAGTTGTAAACCTAGAATAGGGAGTAAATATAAGA